TACATAGAAATGTGCATATAGGGGAGTGTGGTTTGGATTTTACAAAATGACTGATAATCTCCTCTTGGGGAATGTAGACACTCTAAGGCCAAAAAAATTTTGTTGGTTTTTAATCCTTCAAATCCTAGAGCAAAACTCTGATCAGAAAAGATAAAGTCATTAAGCTGAAAAAATCAGACAAATATGGGTTCAAAATCTGCCTGTGGTATACTTAATGGCTTTGTGATCTGGATTAAATAACCACAATTATTGGTAAGCCTCAGCTTTCTCATCTTTGACATGGGAATCATAGCTGTTCCACAGGGCTTTGAGGGGATATAATATACCTGCACTTGTGTGTTTAGCACACAGTCTACACAAAGTAAACTCTCAAGTAAGGTTTGCTGGGCACTAAATACGCAGAAGGCGACAATGTTATCAATGTCTACACTTTGAGTCCTGAAGTAAGCCCTGTCCCATACCCTGTCTACCATGCACAGGGGAACTTGCTGGTATAGCCCACAGAGCACAGATACTTTGAGCCTCTGGAAGGGGAATTGGAATTCTTTTCTCAGATATCCATGGCTGCTTCTTGACTCCCATCTTTAAAACATTTCAAGAACACTGTGAACCCAGCACCAGCTATTTGAGAAGAGGACCATGTGCATCATTTAAAAGATGGGAATGATTTCTGGGGAAAGATGAAAGGCCTTGAATAGGGAAGGATGACACTCTCAATTCCAGTCTGTGGAGACTTAGGGTGTAAAGAGTGTCAACTGGCTATGTTCCCATTTCCATTGCTGCTAACACAAAACAAAATGGACTTAACGATAACATTTGATAGAAGTGAGAACTTTTTGACAGGAAGGAAATGAGAGAAGTGGATAAGTATAAAATATTGCCTGGAAAAATCTATGATGAACAAAGATAACAGACCACAGTTACAAAGAGTTTTCCACAAGTAACTAGCCACAAAATTCTATTCTTTCACAAGATCCATCTTGGCTTCATTCAAATTCACTAAGTACATCCAGAATTTCCCTCCTTTAACAAATAGAGATGCCACTCGATTAAAAGAGAAAAGGTTAAAGGAATGTCAAAGGAAATTTAGTTGTAAGCCCTCTCCCTGATTTTGTTTATGGTATGAACTCTACATAAGTTTTGCTCATATTCACTCACCAGACAGCTATCTACTTGCTTAACTAGAGATGTTAGAGATGTGGTTCTAGTAGAAGTCTCAAGGGCTGGGGATGAAAAGGTGAGAAAGTTAGCCTGATTCAAAGTTCTTCTCACAAAGAAAGGCACTACTTGACTCTAGCAGCTCTCCCCACCCATGTAACCAGAAGCACCTGGAAAATACCACTGAACTCTATACTTAACCTACACTTGTCTGTGCTGGAAAGAGATCTGAGTGGTCTGCTTGCCAATGTCAGACATAGGAATACTCTGGTTGTTGCTTTAACAAAGGAACCCATTGACACAAAGTCACCTAGAAAGCCCTTACATAGCTTTTATTGTTTAGGAGCCCTATTCTGTGTAACTTAGAGACATAGGTCCAGTGGGGATAGTAGTAGCTACAGGAGGAGATGGGTATAGGGTGGAGCATCCTGAAGACATGAAAGTAGAGCAAATCTGGGACCACTAGCTGGAGGAATTAGAAAGAGAAAAAATATTTTTTATCCTTCTTTCCTTTTTCTGAAGTGCAAATAATTAAGACCTATCATCTACTAAGTACCTTCTGTGCACCTAATGAGATTGATCCTATTATTATTATTATTCCTATATTCCAGATGAGGAAATCAAAGCTCAGAGAGATTAATCATAGCAGAGTAGTGGTATATTGTGTGGATAAGAACTTGGGCTTTGGAATACCTGGGTTTGATTTCTGGCTCCACCATGCATTAGCTTTGTGATCGTGGATAAAGCCCTCTGTTTTAACCCCCATTAAACTGTACAAAATGTGAAAAGCAGGGACTGTAACTGTTTTGTTCACTACAGACCAGCCTGGTGAATGAAGGAGTGAGACCAAAACAATTTCCCAGCTAGATAGAGAGGTGAGAGTATTTCTGGACAACTGTCTACCAGTCAAACCCAGAAACTGCTCAGATCAGAAGACACAATATATTTACTTCTGCACATTCCATGCACTCTACTTTATTCTTATCTCTTCCCTATCCCTGGAGAATTTATAATCATTGCCCAGTGAGGTAAATGAAATCTGGCTTAGAATTCTCAAGTCTGAAATTCTCTTGTATTTAATCTCCCTGTTTTAGATCTCCAAGAACCCTGACTATGTAAAATACTACTTCTTCAATAATCTGCCTATAATTCCCAAATATATTTCTCTCTCCTTATCTGGTATTGGCTCAAGCCCTTTGATATTCTGAGTTATTCAGACTTCAGTAAACTTCTTCCTACCTTTTTCATGTATGAATCCTAATCTTTGAATAATTTCTTCTGTTTTGAAACCAATTTGTTATGTAAGTGCCTTCAAGGACAAGGGTAATCAATTATCATATACTAGCTAGTTTTAGGATCTTCCAATTTTTGAAAAGCATTTGGAAGATCAGCAAGGGGAGGCTTAACAGAGGAAGAGAAACAAAGACTCAATTAACAACATTCACAAGTGATTGAAAACAACACAGAGAAACTCTGCTTTCAAGTATGAAGGCAATGAAACAGGAAATGTTTATTCTTTTATCTGGCATTTAATGAGCACCTTCTATATCCTGGGTCCTGTGTAAGTTGCTGGGGATATAAAGACAGGTCTACTCCCTAAAGAACTGGTAGTCTAGAACATGGTTTCTCAACCTCTATACTACTGTTATTTTGGGTAGGATGATTCAGTGTTGTTTGGGGCACTGGGAGTGGGGAGAGTGTTGTCCTGTGTAGTGTAACAGCATCCCTGGCCTGTGCCCACTAGATGAAATAGCTTCCTATCTCCCTTTCCAGTTGTGACAACTCAAAATGTCTCCAGATATTGCCAAATGCCCCTGGGAGAAAAACTGCCCTCCACCTGAGGACCACTAATTTAGGGAAAGAACATTATTTCTCTAATACACTGTGTTATATGTATTATGATCACAACTTTGAGGGTAGACCAGAGGGCTCCTTAGTTCTGGGAAAGGTGGGAGAGTATACCACAAAAAATTTCACAGAGTAAATAACATTTAGTGCTTAATTTTTGAAAAATATTTAGTGGTGGGCCAAGCAGGGAATGAGCTAGACGAGGCAGAATGAGTAGAAGAACAATGAATAGAGAAAGGCCATTCTGGCAGAGATAAGGTGAACAAAGGCCTAAAGGAAGAGAGATCACAAGAGTGTTCAGGCCATGATGAATGGTTTGCATGAGGGAGAACTAGAAATAAGGTTGGGACCAGACTGTGTCACATAAGAAAGAAGCTAGAATTCTAATATAATAAATAAATGTTTTAAATACAGTGGAGCCCTTTTTCAAACAAAAACCTACCTAGATCCCTAGCCTATTACAATGACCACAATGAAATAACTTTGATTAGATCATGGTCCGATCAGTTTTCCTCTTAGCTTCTAAAGCACCTCTGTGTAACTCTAGACCTCTGTGAACCATAGTAGAAAAATCATTTTTGTAGGCAACAGGCACCATGGAAGGACATTAAGTGCAGATTGTATGTCATATTTCCTCTTCAGAATAAAAGCCTCTAGTGGCAGAGTGGAGAATGGAGGAGGATGGAGGGATTTAGGCCGGGGAGGGGGGGGGTGGAGGAGGGTGGTGCAGGGGAACTGAAAGGCATGGAAGACTAGTCAGAATTTTATAAGTGGGTTTCACTTGGAGACCAGTCCTCAGCTACAACACACAGGAAAAAGCACATTGGCTTTGCAATTGTACACATGTAACTTCAAACTCCTGGTGTCATTAACTATGGCCTTGAGCATGTTAGCTGACCTTGCCAAGCTCTATTTTCTTATTCTATAAAGTGGGCCTACCTACCTCACTTGGCTGCTATAGGAAAATATAGGCACATAGAGGTCAGGTGCTAGCATATGATAAGCACTCAGCAAATAAAGTGCATTCTCTTCTTTCACTAGTCTTTTTATTATGAAAGCTTCTCTGATCCTATGTAATTTTGAATGTGGGAGGGGAGATTTACTTTTTTGTTAATGGATTTTCTACTTGTAGAATAGACACACAATTCTTTTTTAAAAGTAATTTTTCCTTTTGGGAGTGACCTATTATGAGCCACATGCTAACAGAAAAGGTCAGAATTTGGCTTCTTACTTTAGAATCTTCCAGAATGTCTCAAAAGAGATAAATTAAAACAATAATGGTCAAAACACAAGTACTCTGTGTATCTGTCTGGTTCTGAGAGAGTGTCTCTGGCCATTCTCGGTTTAGCAAAGCCTGTGTCAGTTTCACGGTTAGGAAGTCATCAACTAAAAACTCTATCTATGTACAGATCTTTTAGGAGATACAAGTGGTGCTGGGATCAAAATCCACATTTGAAATCCAAGTATACTTCTATTCCTTACTGTCCCGTGAAAGTACTTGCTCATCCTGTGTAAGTACTTTATTTACACATTTCTCCTTTTGGAGAAAACAATCTTTATTTTCAGAGCACTGATCTGTTTTCTCTTTGTCTTTCTCATTGCTTATCATCACAGTGAATACATACTGTCAGTGAAATGTCCACTGTAACAAGGTGAAAGGTATAGGGCTTGGGGGTTTAACTGCGTGGAGAATGGATCCCCGAGTAGTAGGCGTCAAAGTATTTTAAGACCACAAGCAATGTCTGTAACTTGGTGGATCATGCCAGAAATCCTATAGAAGCAGACCCGTTCACTCTTTAGACAATGAGGTGATTGATACAAGCCTTTTGGTACTCTTCAGGCAGTCTTCATCCCTGTACCCCTACAACAGAGTCTATGTCTTCCTATGGCTATAGATTTCCTGGACTGGACACTTTCCCGCTCCGGTGCAGAATTCAGTATCACATCCAACCCCTGTCCAACTTGAGACTCTAATATGATAGAGAACTCTGCAGTCTTACCTCTGAATCAGGGTCCCAAAGACAAGATGAAGAACTTTTTGCATGTTTTCTGTACATAGCCATCTCCACTGCTCCATTAGCAGCAAGAGGAGCAGATCCAGGGCTGTGTCAGCTAGCTCTGTCTCTGTTCCTGGGGAATGAAAAGGCATCAAAAGTAACTCAGAAGAGACCCATTCTGGTAGAACATATTTCAGTGCACTGGATCTTCACCTTTTTATCAATCATCTTATATTTCTGTAATCATTCTGTACTCTAATCAAGAGATGTTTACTTTATATATAAAAAGTTCAGTGATAGGCTCTGTATTTCTTTATAATTCTTTTGTTTATGTTCCTGAGTCACTTAGTAAACATTGTCTTTCTAAAAGATTCTGAATATAAATATTTTGCCTATCTAGCTTCTGTTTCTTCTGTATCCCCTCTCTCCCCCCAGGGAGCTGAATACATTCTGTTCCAAGTAATTCCTCCCAACTAGTGACTAACTGGAACTGGCAAGGTCCAGTATCTTCCATCCTTATATTCCACTGGACTCCAAAAAGCATCAAGGAAATGTTGTGGGCAGCAGACCTGGGGAAAGATTTTAGGATTCATTCTCCTGTAAACAAGTTGCTTTGAAAGCATCTCTATTACACAGAGCTGTTGGGTTGGGATCCAGGAGGCTTCAGGTTGATTCTGAGATAACATGTAGTTCTAGAAAGAACACTATACATTTGGTAAAATAGGCCATGACAATTACTGATTTCTTTCCTATTTCAAAGACTAGAAAGAAGACCACAAATTAGTTCACACCTATGCTAAGCTGAAGTCTCCTGAACAGATGTATTTCATGGATGGAAGCATCTGTTCTCTAACCCTGTTCAGGGGTTCCATGTTATCTGTGATTTGCCTCCCGGGAGACGTCCCTAGGAATATATAATGTTCCAGAGTGAATTTCAGCAATCTGGTGTTACTGCAGTGATGAACATTACAGTTAATCATAAATAATAATTTTGTTGGTCTAGGACAAACGGGTATTGTCTGGGCCAGTTTGCACAAGCTCTCCTCCTTAAAGGGTCCTTTGGAACATTAATGACTTCAGATTTGAATGAATCTGCGAGAACTGAATCCTTACTTTTTTCTTAATCCCACCCAATATATATATTCTTTCTGCACCGCATTTCAAGGGGGCATTAGAACTGGTATGTTTACTTTAGAGTCATTTGCTCAAAGAAGGATATTTAGGTCCTTGGGAAACAGCATCATCCTGAGCATATGCCCCCTTCTCAATTCTGTTTTTTCAGGTTTAGTGTTTACCTAGAGCTGCCACCATGTGGTGACAGCTGTCATAGCAGTAAAATAGAAAAGAGCACAACAAGCACCAAGTCCTCTGGAAGAAAATGGTGAATTTACTGTCATGTGAATATTTTGAGTTTCTTAGGGCTAGAAGAAAAGCTCAGGCAGAAACTATACCCTTAGAGTCATGATGTTCAAAATTTACAGCCTTGATTTGGCTACTTATACCGTTTTACCCATTTCGTCTTTCTTACAGTTCTGATGCTTTTGCTGTTACAACACTTTATTTATTTACCCAGTGACACATGTGTGAAGATGTGGGGTTGTGAATTTCACTTTTTGACACAGTTAAGCAGAGGTCAATAGAGTAGAGGTCAAGTGACTATTCACGGGCATCTAAGAAACAATGCTGAAATTGGCACTTTTTTTTTTCATTCTGAACCCAAGACTTTGTGAAGAGACTTTGTGGGAGACTTTGTCTTAGTGGAACTGCCCTGTCCTCACCTCTTCTCCTTTCCTGCTCTATGGTAGGGAACTGGGTGGGTCATCTGCCATGGTAGTAAATAAAACAGAAGGAAAAAATCCAGGGAAGAGGAAGAAGTCCCTTTTGCACATGTCGCACTTCAGCTGCCCAGTGCTATACCTAAGTGAAGATTTCCATTTCCAGTAGGCAAGAGAAAAGACAACGTCCAATACTGAGGCATCATCAGCATATGTGTTAGGTTTGAAATCAATAGTATAAATGAGATCACTCAAGGGGACTGTGCAGAATAAGAACAGAGAACCAGAAATAAAGCTCTGGAAGGCTAGTAAGAGAATCAACAAAGGGGACTGAGAAGGAACCACAAGAGAAGGAGAAAGAGAACCAGGAGACGGGGACCACAGACATGAAGGAAAGAAGTTTTGCAAATAAAGCGAGTAATCCAAAGATGCCAAAGCATGCCAGAAATAACATACATAAGATAATGATATCGTAAGCATGGAGTTTATCTTGCAGGATCAGAGCTCCCTGTTTTCATGCCATGTTCCCGTTTGACTCAGCTCTGGGGACTGTGCCGGATTCTTCTTTGTATGCCAGGCTCAGCTGAGTACCTTAAGCATCGGTTTTTAACACATGGCTTGCTTAGCTGAACAGAAGAGAAATTAAATGAACAAATCCCAACTGTCACAAGTTCCAAGTAGATGGTACACTGGCTCCCTTCTCTGTGGGAGCAGGGATCTTGTCACTTACCTGGATCACTGGTGCTGAGGTCTTGGGCTGGCACGGCTGCATCTGACAAGTAACTGTCCACACAACCTTTGGAGGTTTGTTCTGGGGCTTCTGCTGGATGCATTTCTAGTAACTTTGTCTGTTTTTCAATAAAGGACTCCATCCCAGACATGGATAGGATCTCTGACTCCTGAGGAAAGAGCCAGTGGCACGTCACATAATGCATGAAGAACATACGAGAGCAACTGTGGCACTTCAGAGTATCCCTGTTCCTTCCCTGCAAAAGTATCATGAGTACAGAACCCAAATGACTCTGTGACCACCTCAGGGAAGTTTTTAGCTTCTACCTAAACTGCAAGTAAAATAACGCCTTTATTTTCACACTTGCTGCAAATGCATTTGGGTCATCTGCTCTTTTCCAGGAACTGACTTTCCTTCTCATTCTGCCACCTTTTATTCCAAACCCATGGCCCTTGAGAAGCCAACCTACCGACGCAGAGTCAGTAGGAATTACACACTACTCAGAGAAAATATTTTAGAATAAAAGTTAGAGACCCAGATGCTGGTTAGGTCCTTCAGCAAGGCACCGACATTCCTCCTAACTTCGGAAAATGTCTCAATTGTCTATAACGGCAGGGTCAACCTCCCAGTGATTAATTCCAGGAGTTATCTAGTTATCTTACCATACTGCCTTCCTGGAGACAATAGAGAATCTTCTCAGGTGCTTCTGTTATATTCAGTGCTGGAGCAATCTTACTGGATGAGAATCTCAGTCTGGACCTGGTATAGACACAATGAGCAGAAACAGAATGTAATTTTTGGTTTTGATCCCCATATGAAGGGCTGATGGGTATTAATACCTTAAAACAATGACATACATACTTATTTTAGGGATCTTACTGTGGTCAGAGTTGCCAGGAGAGACCTGGCCCTGAAATTTCCCCAAGTGATAGACATTCAGGCAATTCTCAATACACAGTGCAACCACTGTGCGTTGCTACGGCTACGGCCACAGTGCGTTTGTGAAAGGGCTTTTGCTAATGTAAAACAGGGACCAGTCTATCATGGCTGTATTCCCATAAGCTAGAAGAATGGCTAGCATATACCACATTCTCATTAAAAATTTGTTGAGAATTAAAGAGACATGTGGAATAAACCAAGGTTTTTGGTGGTGGTGGTGGTATTCTATTCGCACATCCATTTATTATTCTTGTATTCCAAATAAAACCAGGGAAGGGCCAACAAGTGCTAACCTCAATTTTTCAAGGATCTTATAAACACAGATATCATGGTCACCCTTCAAAATATGGGGTCAGTAAAAAAAAAAAAGGCTAGAAATTATGAGTGTTACTGCTGGTCCATCAGACATGAACACAGAGACAAAGATAGTCAGTCTGACATACAGACACAAACATACAAACTCCATTCTTCCCTCTCCCCACTCCACCACACACATAAACACACACTGTCTCTCTCTTTCTGTCTCTTTCTCTTCATAATGGCCCATATACAGATATGGAGTTTGAACTAAATGTTAAGTGTGGTGTCCTTCCCTTCCTCATGTTGGCTTTGAAAGGGTACATTTGGGACCTTAGTGCAGGAGAGAATAGCTGGCCCCTCCTGTTTATTGCTAGTATATGCATCTTTGGATCTAAGATTTACAGAAACAATGGCAAACAGAGATCAGTTATAACCCTTAATTCTTCATAGGAAAGAAACATCTCAATCTTCCAGGAAAATAGGAAAAGTAGAATATCTCTATTCTAGAGTTTTCCTTCTAATTAAAAATTGCTGGTCAGTTTAAGTCATGGGTTCCCATGGGGAGACAAACAATCAGCAGGGATGCCTATGCTGGATCTTAGGCTCTTTTGGGTTGGTGGAGCCTGGTTTTGCTTAATAACTGGTATGTGTGACCCATCTCCTCTATCCGAGGGCTTGACAGTGGGGATGGGTTTCGGCTGAAGACTGGCAATCAACCTGAGAAATGGAAAGGGTCCCTGGATGACTGAAGGGCTTCTCACTTGCTAGGCTTCTTGCCTTCTGTCTGGGGCTTGCTTTCTGTCTCGGCCTCACTCAGCTCTTCTGTGGGGCTCTGGGGTTCAGAGCGAGGAAATGCTGTCTTCAAGGTGTCCACGATAGCACTCACCACCATCTGCAGGGGTCAGAGGTGCAGGGTCAGACAGGAGCCACCAAACTGCAGTCGTCTCACGCTGCTTTATGTAATTAGGATGAGCAGACAGCTAGGCTAGCTAGTGGGGTCTTACTCACCAGCACAGTCAGGTATCAGGCAGATTTACTGGCAACTATTCTCCCTTTTCTCTATGGCCATAAAAATCATCTTCCTCACATAGTTAAGACAAACAATGCCATGGGAAAAGAAGTCAAAACAAACAATGAGATAAAAACCTGGGAGTTCTCTAGTATGGTGAAATACTTTTCATTTTTCAATTTCTTTCCTTGTACATAAAGGAATGATTTTTAGTTTTGAAATCAATAACACTTTCACCAAGATGTAAATCAATGGAAGTAGTAGTATACGTAGGAATATGTGGAAAAAAGTAAGGATTATCAAATAAGAAATGCAGTCTAGAAGCATACATGCTCAGAGTAATTCCCAAAGTAAAGAACTGGTTTTTCCGGTTAATTCAAACAATTTCTCTTCTTTACAGAAAGAATAACCAAAAATCACTCATGTCAAAATTAAGGAATCTTGAGTTGATATGAACTCATAAAGACCAAATAAAACATTTCTCAGTGAAGAGTAAGAGTTGTCTATATTTGTCAGAACAGGAAAACGGCATATAGCTATTTGATAGAAAGGAAAACATACAAACAAACGAAACCCTAAAATACCCAAGAAATGAAATCTTTACTTTTCCTTTGGTGCTCCTTTCTAACTGACACTGCTGGCTCAGAGCAGCATCATGCCTTCCTGAATTCATGCCTATGTTTACCCTCTACAAGGAGCACAGCCAGCACAGCTGAGACAAGGCTGTAGTGGCTGAGTAAGACTACAGTAAAGCATAGGGGATAACAAACTGGGGAAAGAACACAGAGGACAGCATGTATAGGTAACGTCACTTAGAAAACAGAACTTGTTCTCAAGGCTCACAAGATTGTAGGTCTGTGGGGAGGGTCTTTATCTGCTTTGTCACCATTGTGTCACTGGCAGCTAGTATTGTTCATGGCTTTGAGCAGGCAAGCAGTAAGTGGATGGTAAGTCAGTGAGTGAACACATCTGTGTGGATGGACATATCTGCATGGAACTCTGGGGATTCTACCTCATTCTTTTCCAGTTTGCAGCTTTTTCCTTACAGGAATGAATGTCTCCTAATTCCTACCACATGAAATTCCACTTTATCATTTTATCCCCTGAAGTCTAGAGTGAGGCCCCCCGCTTCTGCCAATGAGTCAGTGCTTTCTAACCTTTCAAAAAATATGCCATCTTTTGATAAACATATGTCTCAGACTTTTGCCCTGGGGACTCTAAAATCAGCTGGTCATCACTGTTTACAGGATATAAAGTATTACATGAATGTCCTCCTCCTATCATCTCCAAAGGTTCTGAGATCCCCTCTTGAAAGTACAATTCTCTCCACTCTCTGTTCTCTAGCAGACAATCACCACACCAGTCTAAATTCAGCTTAGTGTGCTGTCTTGGGGCTCTTTTCCCTGAGTGACCAACACCAGGAATGATCCTCACCTCCAGAAGAGACTTTCCTGCCCTCACCTATCTATAGATCTACAGATCTATCCTTACCTCCCTCCACTAGAGTAACAATGTCATAAAATCCCCTAGGAAACATGTGTACATGTTCAGTGTCAGGGGGAGTGTATCTTTATAGTTGCTCACTATAGTCCAGGAAGGTGATGATCCAAGCAATATTTGCAACAGGTCCTGGAAATTCTAGTCCATGTTCTACTGGCTCCTTTCTGCTGTCTTTCCCCACCCTTAACCTCTCCTAAAAAATAAATTTTTCGGTCCCTGCCTACGCTCTGATGGGACACTAAAGCTGAGCACGGTGGCCCTGCAGGTACCTTGTCTATTCTTGACACCATGAATGGTTTCTTGACAAAGGCAATACGAGCATCTGTGTTCAGAGCAAGGAACTCCTGCATCTCCTCACTGTTAGCGATCTCCGGAATGGCACAGAGTTGCTGCAAAAGACACAAGACAGACTTCAAAGAGAAATTCCTGTCCCCAGGTCTCTCCAGCTTGGGTTGGGTATCTGGTAATTAGAATGATAGCATAACCAAAAGAGAAGGATACTGACCTTTAGGAAGGATTCCAGGAGGCTCTTGCGGGCTTCTACTCTGTCACTATCCATGTTTCCAAATGGAAGATCTGGAAAGAGCTTTTTAGGACCCTTTACATCTTAAAAATAAAAACAAAAACAAAAACCCAAACTCATTCACTTAACATTTACTGAGAGGTATCCATATAAATCATAACATATATGTAAAGAAAACAGAACTGTTGAATATATTCCTGGGATTTTTTTAAATTTCAGGAGTTCCTAATATATCCCAAGGAAATAATACCTATAATCTACTCTCCCACTAAGGTATATGAGGCCATATACTACCATGGTTATAGATGAGTGCCCTGACCTCCAATTGACCAAGTTTATTATTTTTTTAAGGTTTTTTAATGTTTATGTTTTGAGAGAGAGACAGACAGACAGAGTGCAAGCAAAGGAGGGGCAGAGAGAGGAGTAGACACAGAATCTGAAGCAGGCTCTAGGTTCTTTACTGTCAGCACAGAGCTCGATGCAAGGGTTGAACTCACAAACTGTGAGATCATGACCTGAGCTGAACTTGGACGCTTAACTGACTGAGCCACCCAGGAGCCCCTTTCTTCTCCAACTTTAAAGTTTTGCTCCCATCCCTACTATAAGAATGACCTAAGGCAAGTTGTTTAATCTTCCTTTGACTTTGTTTTCTGTATAATGATAGTACCTGTTTCATAAGCTGTTAGGAGAATTAAATGAGCTAATATATGTAAAGTACTTAGAAGAGAATCTGGCATATATTTTCAAGCTTAATTCAGTAGTAGCTATTGTTATTGAGAAAGAAAATGCATAACTGAAATCCACAACTTATGCCTAAAGTTTATTTGGGTGATCATCAGTTTGTTTGTTTTTTTAAAGAAAGTAGCTGCTTACTAGCTTATATTCAGAATTACATTTTATTAATTTTCACATTGTTCCTACATCTTATAGGAGTCAAATAATACACACACATAAAGCCTAGTTGTTAAAAGAAGGATGGCAAGCATTTCTGGATACTATTTTAAGAGCAACCCATCTATGCATCTGGAAAAGTTAATTTAATGCCTCACACTGCCTCACAGACACAGGTGCAAATGTGAGAGCTTATTAAGCTTAAACTAGATGGGCCCCAGAACAAACCATTCAGCGGCAAAGAAGTGCCTCAGAAAGAAAGTGATCAGTGCTATCCAGCACTAAAACTCAAAGCATCTGAAAGCAAATCAAGGCGAACACAGGCCCCTTGATGCTGTGTTCTTCTTCACCATCCCTCCTCACAAGGGGCCTCCAGCCTCTCAGATCAGGTAGCTAGATATGTAAAGCAAGCAGGCAGTCCAGCCTGGGGAAACTCTGACTTTTGATGAACTTCCGTAGATCTGATTTCTCCTCCAGACGTGTCTGTAGATTTAGGAACTCGCGGTAGCGGCGATTCACAGTGTGGTAGGCCAGCTGCTGCAGGCCACTGCTGTTCTCACCGTCCAGGGCCGTCTCATACTGTTGAATGAACAAATTTGTTTAGTGCAGCAGCTCAATGGCCACAGAGTAAGAACGGAGTAGGGGAAGAGGGAGAAAGATGTTCCTATTCTGTTTCTGAACCTATTAGATCTGATTGCCGCCCTGAGTTGTAATGAGTAACTCAAATTCCCAGGGCAGCTGAATTAAGGAATGAGATGTGTTTCCTAACACATGGGGCCCAGAAAGAGCAATGAGTTTAGCTGTTCTCCATTCCCTTCTTCCATCTCAAAACTCCCTCCTGCAAACACTTTCTTTACTTATAACATTGGCTACATAATTAATTTTCAAATCTCAAAGACACAGTATAAAACAGAAGATAAAACAGCAATAAAAGTGACACTGTCTCTTTCACTCCTAAATGATGGGTTTGGACATTACAAGGGGTTCACCATTTGCTATTATACTCAACCAGTGATTATTTATGTTAGTTGGAGGAAGAACAAATAATCCAAAATAGCTGACAAATAAAATCATTTGTTTGCCTGGAATGCATTAGGACCATGTGTTTTTATTTTGCTTTGGGCAGATTAATTATTATTCTTGGAGCTCAACTGAAATTTGTTTTCCTAAGTACATATCATCTGTATGACTGGAAGTCACGTGAAGACTGGAGATGTTGTAAAGAGTCAGTCTGCTGTCTTGATATGTGCGGAGGGCCCGTATGTGGGAAAAGACAACTTGTACTAGATGTTCCCCCGGTGTGAACACCCTGAGCAGCATGAAGGCTGTAACTTAGTACAGGGTAGACTTTTTTGACAGAGTAGTTATAATGACATAATGAAATGATGTGGAAGAACTATGTATGTACTTGTCATTAGGAGTAGGTTACTATTATTGTTTAGAGAAGGTATTATAGTGTGGGGCAAGTGATGGAAGAAATGATCTCTTTGTTGGTGAGATTTAAAGCTCTTAAAATTCTCTAGAGCCAGAGAGAACTATTCATTATGCACTAACATGAGCAAAGTAGTAGTCCCTTACACTAGCACTGAGAAGGCCTAGCTAGGAGACAAGATGGCATTCAGGGTGGGGCTCTCAAACTTGGAAGCACCTGGGAGTTAGGATGCTTTCTGTGGAATATTCTCCTCAAGGGACACTAATCAACACTCATACATTCCCAAACCTGGCTGCACTTCAAAAATCACTTGGGCTGCTTTTTAAATATATAGATTCTGACAGGCTCTGATAGATTCAGAATGAGAATTTCCAAAAATACCATCTTCAGGTGATTTGGAGGCAGCCTATCCTACAGCCAGTGAAAGGGAGCCTCTGCTGTAAATGAACCCACCATTTCATACATGAACACCTTCATATCATCTCTGCCCAGTAGTTCCTACTTGTGCTTAAATCTCTCTAGGAATGAGGCACTTGCTAACTCTGAGGTATGTATAGGTACATAAACTTCCTTCCTAAACAAAGTACAAAAGATACTAGTAATTAAAAAAGGAAAGAAATTAACAGATTAGAAAAAGAATTTTTGGACAAAACCCTATACATTGGGAACCACTGAAAAATGACCCTCAGTATCCTAAGAACCCTGAGATTCTAGCATTTTTTGTGTGGGTATGAAACAGAGGCCAAAGTTGCTTTACAAATGATCTTCAGACCACTCACATATAGATTCTTGTCGAATTAAACATAACAAGTGAAGAGTAGCCTCTCTCCCCTTAGGTTACTAGCTTCACTGACTCTGCTTTCCAAACCCATTCCCAGCCCACTGGGGGTGACCACAATTCTAATGTTACCTTCACTGTGTAGAGTGTGTATGGGTGGAATCCAGTGCCACTGTGCTCTCGAGCAGTAATGGTACCAGTGATACGAAGGTTCTGGATAACAACTGGGCCATCTGGACTGCTCAGGGGCTCAAAGCTGAAGGTGGCTGAGCTGAGAGGACCGGTTGGAGAGGAGGAAAGTAGAACCTGTGGGAGACTAGGATCTAAGGAGCTCATGCCATTGCTGAGATCCTTCTCTAAGCATGAGGGTCGTGGGGGGCAGTTCCTCTCTGGATCTGTCAGCAAAGATGTGAGAGAGGTGACATCTCCTTGCTCTACTTCCTTGTCTGCTGTGTCAATGTGGATCTCTGGGCAGGAAGTCAGCATGGAGACCAGCAGGCCTGTTTCTGTTTCTGTTCCTGGACCCTCCTCGGCCTCTGCTCCTTCAATTCCTTCAGATCCCTCAACATCCTTAGACTCCAGAGACTGGGGACCCTCCAGTACACACAGGGCATTCTGGATCCTGTCAGAGAGGAAGTGGCCTGGGGTCATGAGCATGATGGTTTCTTTGCTCAGTTCAGACAATGGAGACTCCAGCTCTGTGTCTTCACATAAGAACAAAGGGCCTCGAATATCTGGATGTAGGAAGTGAGACGCGTTGTTTCCTACTTTTCTTTCTTCTGGTACTCCACCCAACTCTCCCTCTATTGCTTCTTGGCCTTCTTCAACTTCTGGGGAGTGGTGGGAAGGCCCCTCTGGCTCACTACAGTTTAGTAGCACTGGTGCTGCTGCTGGAGAAGGGGCTCTCACCTCTGGCGGACTCTGTACCTCAACAATCAGAGGCAGGGATGTGGGCACTGAGGGCTTTTCCAGGGCACTGGCTGGGGAGGTTGGTTTAACCGCTTCCGTCGGATTATTTCTGGCCTTGGAAAAGATGCCCACAAGTACAAGGTGGATCCAGTCAGGATCTGACAGCTTGCTGATTAGTGGTAAGATTACATTACAAGTAATGAGTTCCACCACCACATGGCGCCCGGTCCGGGTCTCCAAGTGGGGCTTTGGCACGAGTCCTTGCAGCAACGAATTTACAATGCCACGCGTATAGGTGACCTCAGCGCTGGGGCTCTGTACAGCAGGATGTGGGGCAGTAGCTCGGCAGTAGGCCTCCCAGAGCTGGGAGGGCTCAACTGGACCACTCTGCTTCTCAGCTGTGGACTCCTTTGCCTGAATGTAGCTCTGCAGGTGACAACCGCAGAGAGTCAGAACCCTCTGGGCAAGGGCATGACTGTCCACCATGCCCATCCTCCTCCGGAGCTCCTGGACCAGGCCTCTCATGGCAGCCTCCATTTCTGCCTCAAAGGCTGGCTCCTGGCTCACTGAGCGATACCAGGAAGACACAAAGTCCCGAATAATCATCTGGATGGTGCGGTCGATCTCCCGCTCCAGCTGCCTCTCGGCCTCGGGGTTTGGAGGACAGGCGGCCACGGGGATGAAGCGCTCCAGATGCAGTCGGCCTGAAGCCCCCACAATGGCGTCTGAGCCCAGCCATCCTCCCAGCACCGCTAGCAAGGCTGACAGAAGGCAGAGAAGCCACACGTTGACCAGAAAGTGGATGACCATGAGCCAACCGAGCACGATCCCCACAGCCATCAGCTTCCGGCTACTCAGCAGGTTACTGAGGCTCCAGCTGGACTCAGCTGGAGTCTCTTGTACCGAGGACGCTGTCTCTGCCTTCATGGTTGAAAGGGGCAGGTGGCTGCCCGGACGACCACCCTCTTCTTATTTCGCTTGAGTTAGGGAGTGGGGCATTAACTGTGTAGGAGACGAGGATATACGGGGTGCTAATCTGGACCCAGGCGGGGCTCTGGGCCCTCCACGTCCTACAGGCAATGCAAAGCGACAGAAGCGGCTCTGCTTCTCCCCCTCGCTCCAGCCCCTTCCAGCGGAGACGCTGCTCTGGACGAAGACTCGGCTGCTGCTGCGTTCATAATGCCGAGGCCGGAGAGCCTCCGCGCAGCCCGGGGAGGGCGGGGCCTCCAGCGGCCCTCACACTTACAGACGCCGAGCGCGGGGTCACATACCGCTCGGGGGCGCGCCCAGACAGAGGCCCGCTGTGAGAGGGACTCAACCGCGTCTTCGCCGCTGCCTTCGGTGAGACCCTCCCCCGGGTTGGGGTCCCAGGCGACGTTGCTCCGCAGCCCTGCTTCTGTCACGGCTGCCGGCCGGCGGCCGCCGGCGACAGCTTCCGGGTCGCTATTGGCGGAGCGGGGCATGCTGGGAGAGCGGCCGCGGGCCCCGAGGCGCGGCGCTACGTGGCGCCCCCTGGTGGTAAGAAACGACCGCGACACCATCGGCGGACGCAAGTCTCCCAAACTGCTTGCAGAGCTAGTGTTCAAGGGTGGGCTCAAAGTGTTGTGAAACGCAGAGCGGCCTTGCAGGCAGAAACCCCGAAGGACTGAGGCTTCTTAGCTTTAATTATTAAATAAAGTCGGCCGACATTTCTTACTGCTTCGGCAGTCTCCGTAATCCAGCTTGTTTTAATCCCATGTGGACATTTTTTCGTTGGCATGATACCTTTCAACATTTACCCCGCTTCCCCCAGCGCCCCTCTCGAGACCGCAATACAGAGCTCACCTACCTTGTTCTGAGAAATTGCAGAACACAAGGCATAAAACATTAAAAAGGGATAGATTTATTCCTTAAATTTAATATACTGCGTAACAAAATCATATTTGTGATTTGGGGGGTTTTACTGATGGAATTACCCAAGCTATTAGATACTTTGAGCATCTGCTATATTTAATCACTGTAAATAGGTACTGTGGAGGAATAGAAGCAGTACTTGTCCTCAAGAACCTTGTGGCTAATTGGGGAGATGACAAATTTTTCGATCATGATGGATAACAATGCAAGTAAGTATGGTGTACAGTAAAATGCAAAATCTTACAGATATTCAGGTAAAGGACGGATCACTGTGGGTTACAGTGGTATGGGGGAATCTCACAGAGAAAATAGTCTTTATATTGAATCTTCAAGTGCTAGAATTTGTTTCTACCCACTCCATGTCTTCTCCCCCTTTCCTCCCCAAATATATAAGAAGGCAGAAGCAGAGATGAATTTACAGACAATTGTCAAATATAATTGCTTTGAAATGTACTGTTTTGTTGTTTTTGTTTTAGTAAATTTGCCTTCAGTTATCTACACAAATTTACCTATAAGAAGATTGATTACCTGACAGTAGTGCTGACCATGTGTAAGAATGTTTGTGCCAGTGTCATTGGAAGCTAGCTTTCTTCCCCATCTTGGTCCTTAGGAGCTCTGCCTGCAATGTGGCTATCCTTTTTATTTTGGCACAGGATGTATGTCATTTGTATAGAGCTATTTATGATTGCTCATCTTCAGCTTTCTCAATGCTGTTAGCAGCCTCCATCATTATAGCATCAGTTCCCAGATGCTTAGAGGAATCATCAGGCAAACTCCAACCAAAATCTGTGCGAACAAGAGTCAAACACATTGTATCTTCTCTCATTTCCACTGTTGGGGCAAAGATTTCTTTTGAAGACAAAAGGAACTATCATAATTAATGCCTATCAATTCTAATGCAAATAGTTTGATTTCATATCCAAATGTCCATAAAGTTGACTGAGCACATCCCTGAGATCCTAGAATGTGGTTCAGTGTTTCCATGGCAAAGATTACTTCTCTGCTCTTCTCCTTCCTACAGAAAAGGAACATAAGAAATGGGTGCTGCCCCCTTTGTTGTCCTGGACAATTTTATTGTCCTTAGAAGATCACAATGGTGCTCTGGAGAAATATCCTTGCCACTTAGTCAAGAAATAAAAGAAGTGGGTGAAGAAGAGACTAATGTGCTTTTGAAGATTTTTTTCAATGACAGTTCAGAGATAAAGTTTACTCTGCAGCATCATCTGGAGTGTTCAGGGCAGTAAGAAACTGACCTTGTAAGTGGGCGCTGTGCCACCTGACCAGATGGTCTGGAGCACAGAATCAGCCAAGACTGATTCTGAAATGGATTTGATGAAACAGGACTCTCAGATGAACATGCCGGTGCACTTGTCATTTTGACTGGAATGAGTCTTTTCCCAGAGATCTGGGGCCAGTCTTAGTCTCCAAACAGATTAATCACAGGGAGGAGGTGAGGGGCAGCACTGATGTTTGGTGGTGGTGATGCTGTGTATATATGCAGACAGGAGGCTGGCTGTTGGGTCACATCACTCACCATCTCAGTAGGTTCTTCCCTTCCTTCTTACTATTTCTTAAAACATTATAGGAAAAGTGCTAGAGTGTTGGAGATAACAAGACAAGTAAGACATAGTAATTCACCTCAAGGGACTCTCAGTCTAGTTATAGGAGAAAGACACATAAATAAATCAATGCAACAAAACATTACCATGTGTGGTCTGATAGTGGCAGTAGAGATATGTACAATAAAATGGGAACACAAAGGAAGAGTGGTCAACTGGGGAACTGGGTGGTGCTAGTATAGTCTTCATAGAAAGTTGGAAAACACTGGAAAAAGAAAAATAAGTAAGTTATTTTAGGTGAGTGTAGGATAGAAAGAGCAAGGGGAAGAGGGAGGCAAAATCTGTCAGGCAGAGGCAGCAGAGGGAAGTAGGCATTGACAATGAGAACAAGGAGGGTTGTAGCAAGGGGGCATGCTGGAAACAGCTCATGCCACACCTCAATTTTCTCTCAAAAATAGAAATCGGGGTAACTTATTAAAGAAAGAAGTAGTGATGGAGCAAGTGATTTGGTTTAGAATGATTGCTGTAAGAAACAGAAGGACCTACTGGAGGTCATGTAAAGGATAAAGAGGGGGGCGCCTGGGTGGCTTAGTCGGTTAAGCGTCCGACTTTCGCTTAGGTCATGATCTCGCGGTTCGTGGGTTCGAGCCCCGCGTCAGGCTCTGTGCTGACAGCCAGCTCAGAGCCTGGAGCCTGTTTCAGAGTCTGTGACTCCCTCTCTCTCTGACCCTCCCCTGCTCACGCTGTCTCTCTCTCCTAGAAATAAATAAAACATTTTAAAAAAAGTTAAAATCATCATGTCTATGTGTCTTAGAAAGGAAATGAAGCCAGGAGAGAGATCATCAATTATGAGATAGGGTTGGCTATATTGGAAGAGACAGAGTGAGCCAGAAGAACCAAAGCTTGTGGTTAGAGATGGGTTTGTTGGAGCCTGTGTTAGTTTCCTATTGCTACTCTATCAAATTTCCATAAACTTAGTGGTTACAGCAATGTAAGTTTTTTTTTTCCCTGAAAGTTCTGAAATTCAGAAATCTAAACTCAGCTTGCAGGGCTGTGTTCCTTCCTCCCCTCTTCTCTTCTCTAGAGGAGAATCTGTTTTCCTGCCCTTTCCAGCTTCTGGAGGCTGCCTGCCTTCTGTTGCTCATGACCTCACGTTACATTGACTTCAGCCTCTGCTGTCACTTGTCCCCTCACTCTAACCCTCCTGCATGTTTCTTATAAAGATCCTTGTGATTATTTTGAGCGTTCCCAAATAATCCAAGGTTATCTTCTGATCTTAAGATTCTTAACTTGATCACATCTGCAAGTGTCTCTTGCTATAGAAGGTAACACAGTCACAGATTCTAGAGATTAGGATAAAGGCATCTTTGGGGGTCATGATTCAATTTACTACAGAGCCAAAATATCCAGAGGTGAAAATCTTTGTGATGATGAAGTCTGGGTGTGGCCAAGTAATGAGATCCTGAAGTAGGATGTAGATAACATGTTAGAGCTGAGGAAGAAATTTTGAAACTGTTTTTGAGAAGGATGATCTACATGGCATTGGAAGGTACTGATGTTAGGGTAGCAAGAACTGGGGTCTTGGTACACAAGTTCTTAATAAATGAGGAGAATGACCAGAGGTTGCTGGATGATGTAATGAGAAGAATGGTATATAGTAATATCAAAATAAGAAAAGAGAGTTTTTCATAAAGTGGAAAACAAGTTATCTGGAAGAAGTCATGAAAAGCTACCTTAGAAGTGGCATTGGAAAATAAATACCCACCAGAAGGCAGCAGGGAGAATGGCATCTTAAGGGGACATTCCATCTCCTTCATTTGTTCATTCTTCCTTTCATGTATCCATTCATCCATTCATTAGCATTAAGCTAGGTATTGGGAATTCAAAGATGGACTTTGTATGGCTGCTCTTCTTAAAGGTTGTACACAATCTTGTACAAGAGACAGGCACTGACACAATATTCAGAGTGCTACCAAAGAAATATGTCAGAACACAGAGAACTAGGAAAAGTTTCACAGAAGTGACATTTGCATTAGCCTTGAAGAGTGGGTTAAATTTCTCGTGAAGACTAGAGGAACAAGTCATTCCAGGAGTAAGGAAAACATGAACACCGAGTAGGCTGCTATATTAGTTTGCTAAAACTATTGTGATAAAATATCACAAACTGGATGTGTCAAACAATAGAAATTTATTTTCTCACAGTTCTGGAGGCTGGAAGTCCAAGATTAAGATGTTGACAAGGTTGGTTTCTCCTGAAGCCTCTCTCAGTGGCTTGCAAATGGCTGCCTTCTTGCTATGTCTATACATGGTCTTTCCTGTGTGTGTGTGTGCCTTCTCTCTTTTAAAGGCACCAACCATTCAGGGGTGCCTGAGTGGCTCTTGGTTAAGCTTCCGACTTCGGCTCAGGTCATGATCTCGCTGTTCATGGCTTTGAGCCCTGTGTTGGGCTCTGTGTTGATAGCTTGAATTTGGAGCCTGCTTCAGATTCT